GGGACTGATGTACTGAAGCAAAACATAAAACTATGAATAATTGAAAGAAGCTATTGGCTTTATAAATTTTATATAATGCTTCGTATGCTGGTATCTAACTTAAATCAGGTTTATGAAATGCTGAAAATTCACCAGGCTTCCATTAATTGTACCTTCCCTCTTGTATAATTGAATCCGCGGAAGAGATTGTTTTTCTATCGACTTTGGATATTAGCACTCAAAAAGTCCTGGTCCAACCCCTCCCTCACGAAAGACCTAATTCATTTTACACGATCATTAGAAGGTGACACTGAAAGAGGTTCACATGCCCCATTGTGCCAAGGCGGACAATTATGTGAGAAAGAAGAAACCGTGACTAGCACAATTCCAAAGGGTAAACAAAGGGCTTTAGCATCAAGAACGTTTGGACTCACCATTTCAATGACCGAGAGCGCGAGAATTTCATCTAGTTTTGCTCACTGAACAGCTAAGAAATATTTCTCATTCAAAATAAAAGAATAAAGTCGCTCAATGATATTAAGACTTGAGATTTCATCTTTAAAATGACCACCCTTACATATTAGTTAATGTTTCTATCTTTATTCAACTTAAAAATGAACAAACCCTTACATCTTAGTTATGGCCTGTTTGATACCATGCTTTTTCCATGGTTCCATTTTCCATGTAAAAGCATGTTTGATTGTCAACATTCAACCTAGAATTCTTTTTCTGCGCCTATTTTCCCTGCAATTGGTGAATTGGTTTTCCTTACGTTTTGGTGAGAATTTAATTTCCAGGTTCTCTCTTTTTATTTTTATTTTTTGGCAATGGTAAAAAATTCTTAACACAATGGTAAAAAAAATTTATCATTTTTATTGATAATTTTCATGCAAAACAAAGTCAAACAAATGATATTCGGTATAGTAATTTTTGTAAAAACAAAAAAAAATTATTTTTTTTATATTTTGGCAAGTAGAACAAATTCTAAACTCAATGGTAGAAAAAAATATCACTTTAATGGACAATTTTCATGAAAAACGAAGCCAAACTTTGAACATTTTCCAGGTGGAAAATTATACCAATCAAACTCAATTAATTACAATTTCCAGTAAAACAATTTCTAGACAAATCAATTCCCTATAAAACATTTTCTTTCCACCAATTTTCCACCGGACCCTTAACGTTTCTATCTTTATTCAAGGTGGATGTAACTGCATTCAAATGCCTCAGATTATTTATTCATTATATAGTTAAAATTAAAGTTGCAGATACCATAAACTACATAAGCAATAACAAAAAGACGCAGAGGGAGAGAGTTGACAAGAAAATTTCACAGGAACTTGAACAAAAGTGCTTAGCTTCTCTTGACTGGATCGAAGTTAGAAACACCAATAATAGCTCCAAGAATGGCTCCAAGCACAACCCCACCAGCCACAATGCTGAGCAAGAAGTTCCTAATGATGAAGTTTGAAGACTGGAAATTATATTGCAACTCAATTTACAGAAAGCTTCTTCACACACAAAATTACAGTGATATGTAGCACGATTAAATACAGTTTCTCAATTCTATTCTAAGTAAGATTGCTGGAATAAATGCTAAATATTACAGACAAATTATTCCCTTGATTGTAGGCTAAGAATCAGTGTCTGGATTCTCTACTTGAATTGAGGAAGTTGCTTGATGTTTGCTTGTTTCCATAATACGCCCCCGCAAGATAGAGCTGCCATCAGTTAAGCCTATCTTGCTTCTCAACAGTTCTGTCCGTTGACGAGAAGTGCCTTTGTGAGAAGATCAGCCAACTGATCATGTGTGTTGACATGGTGAACATTAAGAATTCCACGTTGGACCAAATCACGCACAAAATGAAGGTCAATCTGAATGTGTTTCATTTTTGTGTGTTGCACGGGATTGAAACTAAGATATGTGGCCCCCAAATTATCACATAGCAGTGTAGGTGGTTGGGAAATTGGAAGACCAAGTTCGTGAAAGAGCGAAAGTAACCACACAGTTTCGGAGGCTGCATTTGCAAGAGCTCTGTATTCGGCTTCAGTGGAGGACCGTGCTACTGACCTTTGTTTCCTTGAACTCCAAGAGATTGGGTTTGCACCAAGAAAACTTATATATGCAGAAGTAGAGGTTCGATCATCAAGGTTTCCCGCCCAATCCGCATCAGAATATGTTATGAGATCAAAGCTTGATTGTTTCTTGACGTGAATGCCAAGAAAAATGGTTTGCTTGATATAGCGAATTAATCGCTTTGCCACTGTCCAATGAGTCACTGTTAGCTTGTGCATAAACTGAGAAAGTTTGTTTACCGAAAAAGAGATGTCCGGACGAGTGAGGGACGGATATTGAAGTGCACCAATGACACTTCTAAACTTAGTGCTATCTGTGGAAGATGTTCCATCCATCAATTTCAGAGATGTGCTTGTAGACAATGGAGTGAATACATCCTTTGCACCAGCCATGTTTGTTTTTGATAATAGATCCCGGATATACTTGTGCTGAGATAGGAAAAGTCCAGTTTTTGTCAGAATTACCTCCATTCCCAGGAAGAAATGAAGATGCCCCATGTCTTTTAAGGAGAAGCGATTTCCAAGTTGGTCAATGAGTTCAGCCACAAATGTTGTATCATTACCAGTTATGACCAAATCATCAACATATACTAATAGATAGCATATAATAGACTTCTGGCTGTAGATAAAGAGTGATGAATCAGCTTTAGAATTCTGAAATCCGAGACCCACTATGGCTGATTTGAGAGCTGTATACCAGGCTCTTGGGGCCTGTTTGAGGCCGTAAATAGCCTTTCGCAACCGACACACATGAGTTGGTTTGGAAGCATCTTTAAACCCCGACGGCTGAACCGTATACACTGTCTCACCTAACTGGCCATGTAGAAATGCATTATTGACGTCTAATTGTCGTAATAACCACCCCTTCATTACAGCTACTGACAAAACGGTTCTAATGGTTACAGGTTTGACAACCGGGCTGAATGTTTCCTTATAGTCCACCCCTTCACGTTGATGAAATCCTTTTGCAACAAGCATCGCTTTAAAGCGATCAACTGAACCGTCTGATTTCCTTTTAACCCTGAAAACCCATTTACACCCCCACAGGATTACAGTTCTTAGGTGGGGAAACCAATTCCCATGTTCCATGGCGCATCAGTGCACTAAGTTCGTCAGACATAGCCTGCCTCCAGTGAGGTTCACGAAGTGCTTGTCCCACACAAGTAGGTTCAATGGTAGATGGAAGAGGGTGTTTGGTTACTAAATTAAATTGTTTAGGTTTGTGAATATTATTCATGGACCGTGTAGTCATTGAATGGGTACGAGTAGGGTGTGGCAAGGGAGGTGCTATATGTGAATTATTGTGTGCAGTGTCGGATTGTACAGCTGTAGTTGTGGGTGAATGTGAGGGGGAAGATGATTTTCTGGTGGATGAGGCGAAATAGGTGAAGAAGAGGGATTTGGCGTTTCTCGAAAAATAGAAGAGGGATCGAAGCCGTTACCTAAGGATGGCGTGGAAATGATGCTTCCTTCCGTTATCATTGGCGGCTGCTCCGGCAAGAACGGTACAACGGTGGGAGGCACTACAGTTGAGGTCGGAGGGGGCGAAGAGCGTTGTGGTGCTACCGAAAGGGAAGGGAAGTAGGTACGGTGTTCATCAAATAACACATGCCTTGATATATAGAGTTTTTGGGCTTTTGGATCAAGGCATTTATAGGCATTCTGGGTTGAAGAGTAGCCCATAAAGATACAAGGTATAGATTTGGGCTGAAGTTTATTTGTGTTATATGGTTTGGTGAGGGGAAAGCACAAGCACCCGAATTTTTTCAATTTAAGATAATTTGGTGGCTGGTGAAATAATATTTCAAAAGGGGATTTGTTGTGTAGAAGGGGTGTTGGCTGACGATTTATAAGGTAAGTAGCCGTGGAAAAAGCATGAGGCCAATATTTTAATGGTAGAGACGCATCATGTAAAAGAGTAAGGCCAGTTTCCACTAAATGACGGTGACGACGTTCGGATACACCGTTTTGTTGTGGTGTGTGAGGGGCGATAGTGTAGTGACTTATTCCATGTAAGGACAAATAGTTTTTTAGGGCAACAAATTCACCGCCATTATCTGAGTAGAGACTCTTGATTTTGGATTGAAACTTGTTTTCAACAAGGGTTTTAAATTGAGGGAATATTGTGCGTACTACAGATTTTGTTTCCATTGGGTAAAACCAAATGTATTTTGTGAAATGATCAACTAAAATCAAGTAGTATCGAGAACCATCAATGCCAGTGGTATTTGAAGGACCCCAAACATCAGTATAGATTAAATCTAGGGGTGCATGACTTTGAAAGCTATTTAGACGAAATGGTTGCTTGTGCGCTTTATTAATAGAACAAGAAGTACATAGATGAAAATCATGGACATCTTTTATTGCTGGAAGAGAAAAATCTTTAACAAGACGATGAACGATTTTATTTGAAGGATGTCCTAGACGTTTGTGCCACCCATCCATTGACGTTCGTTCGTGCACATTTGCAACCATTTTTGAAGAGACATTCACCAATGATTCCGGGAAGGTGTAGACACCATTTTCACACGCTCCTTTGAGTAGGACCACCCCCGTGGCTCGATCCTTAACAAGAAAGAACAAGGGATGAAATTCAACGAGCACATTATTTTGAGATGTAAAATGGTGCACGGAAATGAGATTTTTATGAATTTTAGGAACACAAAGGGTATCATTTAAATGAAAAGTGCACGTTGGTGCTTTGAGAACTAGGGAACCAATATGTGAAACATGCAAACCTGAACCGTCACCGATGACAACTTCGTCGGTGCCACCATATTCCGAATGCACCGTTAAATTTTCCAAATCACCGGTTATGTTGTGCGAAGCTCCTGAATCAAGAAGCCATTTAGCATCCTTTGCATATGAAGTTTTAGCAAAATTAGCAATTGGGCCGGTAGAGTGGGCTTTGGAGCAAAATTTTGCAGTGTGGCCCAGTTCATCACAAAGTTGACATTTAGGCGTGTACTTTCGCTGTCCAATGGACCAGAATTGTCTTTTGTTTTCTGTTGGGCCTCCATGTGAGCGATAGGAGCCCAAGTGGAAATCTGCCTTTGAAGACCAGGCACCACGACCAGAACTGGAATCATATTTGGAGGATCCCTTGAAGTGTTGGCCACCGGAAGAAGACCCAGACCAGCGAGTGGAATAATTTGCCGATGCTACAAGCTGGTGAGTGCTTGTTTCCATACGGCGGAGATACACATCATGGCCAACAAGGTCATGAAGCTCCTCAAACGACAATGGCTTCTCCCTTGCACGAATCGGTGCTGCAATTTCACGAAAATCGCTGCCCAACCCGTTTAGGATATAAAGAGTGAGATCATCCTCGGAGATAGGGTGATCAATTAGAGAAATTTCGTCAGCAAGGGTTTTTACGAAATGCAGGTATTCTTGAATTGGTTGATTACCCCTTTTTAGCATTGTAAGTTCTCCTTTAGTTGCATTGCACGGGTACGGGATTTGCTTGCGTACATGGTATGCAGCTTATTCCATGCTTCCCTGGATGTTTTTGTAGCGGAGATGAATGGAGTAATGGTGGGTGTTGTTGATGCCAAAATGGCGCTAAGAATAAGCTTATCTTGTCTTATCCAGTGGGTTTTTTGAGGATTTGTGATGGTGGAGTCAATTGAGAGGGGACATGGTTTATCACCCGTGACATAGTCGAGTAAATCATACCCAATGAGGAGGGCTTCAAACTGGGCACGCCATTGAGGGAATGTTGAGGGTGTGAGTTTTTCATTTAACTGAGCAGTAACATTGAGTGCAATGAGGGGAATGTTTGCGGAAGGTGGTGGTGTTGAAATCGGATTGTTGGTATGTTCAGAGGTGGGGATCGAGGTCTCGTTAGAGGCTGACTCTCCTGATACCATGATGAAGTTTGAAGACTGGAAATTATATTGCAACTCAATTTACAGAAAGCTTCTTCACACACAAAATTACAGTGATATGTAGCACAATTAAATACAGTTTCTCAATTCTATTCTAAGTAAGATTGCTGGAATAAATGCTAAATATTACAGACAAATTATTCCCTTGATTGTAGGCTAAGAATCAGTGTCTGGATTCTCTGCTTGAATTGAGGAAGTTGCTTGATGTTTGCTTGTTTCCATAATACCTAAGAGATGGGCTCGCTCCATTCCCAGCTGCCTCCGCTGCCTCTGGAATCACCATGGAAGCTGTCAATGCAGCTGCTGTTATTGCTGTAATAGCCTTCTCCTTAAAAGAGGCTTCAACTTTAACCTTGGATCGTGATTTTGAGTTAACAAACACGGACTTTAAAGGCTTCTTCACCAGCGATAGTGGCTTGAAAAATGCATCGGATGTTGGTGGCTGCAGCCTTTTCTGGCTGCTGCAAGTGGCGGTTAATGGCATAGCCATTGAAATTGAGGGCATTGTTTCGGCCTTTTTGTTTTTGTTTTTCTGATAATCTGTTTCTGTTTAGTTCGAGCATTCTAACAGAGGTGGCTTAGATAGTTGGATAGAGATTTGGATGAATAGAATGAGGTGGGAACTAGAGATTCTGTGCGTGCTTGTCATTTCGATCCTATCCCATGTGTCAATTTCTTAACCCTGGTTTGGGGGATAAGGTTATCCACTAAGATTGATGCAATAGGTATCAATCTCAGTCGAGATGCCAAGCAAGCAAACTAAGCATCATAGTGTCCATTGTTTCCACATTGGGCTGGTCTGATTGCACAGGGGTCGAGAGAATAATACTATTTAACGTCACTCGTGTTTAACATCAATCAAAGTGTTCATTAGATGTCCTTTCAAAAATTGAGCACCTAAAACGTAGAAATATTTGAGTTATATTTATGATGTCGACCCACTTTATAACTCAAACCCTTCACATTCTCAATGGCTCATCTTGACCCATAGACCCATCCCAGGAGGTAGGACCTATATGTTGAATTTATTAGTGTACTAAATTTTTGAGAAAAAAAAATTACAATTTTTAAAAAACTTAAGAATATAACACTTACCTTTCATCAGAAATCATCGTTCAGTTTTCATTGTAAAAATCAACAGTTTACACGTGTTACCTTATTTTCTCAAGGGATTACATGTTACCTAATTTTAAACAGTTTACATGTCATATTACCTTGTTTACTTCACAGATTTACATGTTCTGTTTATAAAACCAAAAATAAATGAAGCACACTCGACAATAGTGTAATGTGTCTACTTGAATGTTTTCAAGTTAACTAGCAGAAATTTCGAGTGAATTTCTTGACGAACCTGGTTAGCATTGCTCAAGACACGCATTGCATATTCTGGTCATAACCTGGTAATTCGAACACAAGCACACCGTTAATTTCAGTCAGAAGCTAGAATGCACGTTTAAAGAAAAACAAAATCTTCTTTCATTTTCAGAGAAGTCACATGCTGTATGCAGTGAAAAGAAAACAAAAGGACCCCTGAAAACTTTCAAAATGCCATCCCAATTTGTTAGCTTAAATGTTGACGACGACCTCACATGAAGTATGGTCGAAATTGTTTTCACATCTACAAGTAAATATTATTTTTACTCTTGATTCCGTAGTTGAGAAAAATGATTAGAGCATGTTTGGCTAAGCTCACAAAGTTTACTTTTAAGTGGTTAACTTTTCGAATAAGTTTGGAAATAAAAGGTTAGTTAAAAAGTATCATTTACCTTTTCTAAGCTTTATTTTGATAAATTGGCTTAGTAAACTCCGTATTGATCCTTTCAAGATCTGACTCAACTATACTCAGCAATTTACAAAGCTTATAGAGTTACATAGTTCGTTCTTCTAGGTTCAATTATTTCAGAGTAGATGAAAGAGCAATTACTTGGAAATGCAATAGATGAACTTTTGAACAAGTAGATAAAATCATCTGGTGGTTCCAATCTTCATGGTTCCCGACTCAACAAGATGAACTTCTTGGGGAAGGAGATCATATCCGATATTCAACTCTTGAAATAATTTCTTCATCTCAAGAACCAGCTCGGTTCTTCGTCGGCTCTTCTCACTGAAGTCTTGAAAGTTCATTGTGTGATTGAAAAAGAGAGCCATCTTAATCTTGTTCACATTTTCAATCTCCTTCACAACTACATTGACTAATCCTACGGTGACGACCCCTATTTCCTCTAGATACCTGGAAATTTAAAATACAATAAGAATATAAACTAGAAAACACAAGGATCGAACCAGCCGGTCCATCTAGTTTTTAAAACACTGCATTTCACCGTAGACAGCATTGCAGAGAAGAAATCAACAATGCACAAATAATGAGTTCATCTCTTTAAATTGTCCAAATGTCAAGAAATTTGAAGGAAATATGACAAACTAAGATTTAAAATTAAATAATTTTGGCAATATTTGGGGCTGATATTAATTCGTGCCAACACAAGAATAAATCTTATGTGAATCTTTTCATTATAAATCATTAACAATATCATTAGTGTAGCAGCTCGTATCAGGACAAAAAGTGATATTCACTTCATACTGTAACCCCCCCCCCCCCCCCCCCCNNGGTGGCTGCAGCCTTTTCTGGCTGCTGCAAGTGGCGGTTAATGGCATAGCCATTGAAATTGAGGGCATTGTTTCGGCCTTTTTGTTTTTGTTTTTCTGATAATCTGTTTCTGTTTAGTTCGAGTATTCTAACAGAGGTGGCTTAGATAGTTGGATAGAGATTTGGATGAATAGAATGAGGTGGGAACTAGAGATTCTGTGCGTGCTTGTCATTTCGATCCTATCCCATGTGTCAATTTCTTAACCCTGGTTTGGGGGATAAGGTTATCCACTAAGATTGATGCAATAGGTATCAATCTCAGTCGAGATGCCAAGCAAGCAAACTAAGCATCATAGTGTCCATTGTTTCCACATTGGGCTGGTCTGATTGCACAGGGGTCGAGAGAATAATACTATTTAACGTCACTCGTGTTTAACATCAATCAAAGTGTTCATTAGATGTCCTTTCAAAAATTGAGCACCTAAAACGTAGAAATATTTGAGTTATATTTATGATGTCGACCCACTTTATAACTCAAACCCTTCACATTCTCAATGGCTCATCTTGACCCATAGACCCATCCCAGGAGGTAGGACCTATATGTTGAATTTATTAGTGTACTAAATTTTTGAGAAAAAAAAATTACAATTTTTAAAAAACTGAAGAATATAACACTTACCTTTCATCAGAAATCATCGTTCAGTTTTCATTGTAAAAATCAACAGTTTACACGTGTTACCTTATTTTCTCAAGGGATTACATGTTACCTAATTTTAAACAGTTTACATGTCATATTACCTTGTTTACTTCACAGATTTACATGTTCTGTTTATAAAACCAAAAATAAATGAAGCACACTCGACAATAGTGTAATGTGTCTACTTGAATGTTTTCAAGTTAACTAGCAGAAATTTCGAGTGAATTTCTTGACGAACCTGGTTAGCATTGCTCAAGACACGCATTTTCATTGATTTCAATATTATAAAAAGCAAGTGAGACATCAAGTTTTGAACATTGTTCTAGTTCTTGAAGAGCTAGCTGTATAAAACTTCTGAAAGCATTTTCAGGACTATTCTGACTTAAGAAGCAAATCAAAATTCGAGCAAAGAAATTTGAGGTCACTCTATAGTTCCTATTTACAAGAGTGGGAAAAGATCTCACGTACCACCCATTCCGTCAAAGTTTTCTTGTCAATTTGACCAGTGTTTGCCACGTCAATCATTGGGAACACAAGATCCACCTCCTCTTTAATCATGAATCTCCTTAGGTCCATTTCATCAATGTACCTATCCACAGTATTAAATTGTTGTGTAATGGAGAAAAATGCATAGGCGTGATAAGATAAACGTGAATGCATGAAAAAGTTTCAAAAGATGGATGTGCTCACTTGCAACAAGGGTGAGCTACATTCCTAAAAATGTGATATGCGGCAGCAATTGCCTCCTCCTCATTCATGATCTCCGTATCTTCCTGTTCATTACATCTGTAAACACTTTCATCAATTGTGCTGGACAAGGTAGTCAAACCCGAATTAGATATCACATCGACCAGCATCTTCATTCTCCAAGTAGAGACTTTATCTTTCTTCATCTGATGGAGTTTATTGATATCAATCACCTCTTTCTCCTTTTTCTTGTCTTTCGTTCCCTTCTTCCATGTATTCAAATTCGATTGACCAGCATTACTGCTTGATCTACCCAACATCTGAGCTGACTCCATAACTGCTGGCCCGGACAGCGTCTGCAGAACATACTGATGGAAGATTGCCTCTTGAATCCGATCAAAGAATGTGTTGACATGGAATGACGATGCCAAAATCTTCAACAACAATGTCTTCAGGAGCCACAAGAATGCACCGATAAGCAATGAAGCAATAGTCCAACTAATGAAATGCAAAATACGAGTGACAAACTGTGATCGCTCAATCCCTTCATGGAACAGTAAAACCCAAGTAGCGAGAACCAAACTCAACCAAACACAGACCTGGACGCTCTTTTTCAAACCATAGACAAAATACAACACTTTCTTCTTCAACAAATAGTTTAGCTCTATCAACAACACAATAAAATGAACCAACCATTTAGAAACCAACTTGCCACTAAATGTCACCAAAACAAGCACACACCACTTCCAAATCCTCAAACCCCCAACCCTCCAAGGGCGCACCTTGTCCACAGTCAAGCTAGCAATGAAGAACCCAAGGATGCAGAGAAACAATATCCATTCTATCAAAACCTTCTTTTTGATTTTCCTATATTTCAACTTGCTCCTACTTCTCACTTTCTTATATATTTCTTCATCATCATCCAATCGAACACCCACAGAAGATGACACCAACAGTGTCTTTGGAGTTATCGACGCTGTCCTACTAACATCTTTCGGTGTATTACCAGTCGTAGAAGTATTGTCAACTTTACTATTAGGTGAAGCTCGACTAGATATTACATTTTCTTCAAATGTGATAGTATCAATAGGAATGGATGGTCCACCAAATCTTGATTTGGGCTTCGAATAAACTGACCTTGAAAGTGATTTTCGCGAAGTGAGGGTCTCATTCGTGGGGATTTTAGGACGCTTATTGGGGCTTTGACCTAACCCTGCAATTTCCGGTGAAGGGCATCTCATTTGGACATGCTTTTGAGTAGGAGAAGCCGAATCATTCAATGTTGTAAAAGGCGAATCTACTGAAGTTTTTGAGTTTTGATCCTTTGGAGAATCTGACATTGCAAATTTCGAATCTTTATCCTCTCCAGAGATGTTAATAATCAAATCACTTGCTGTTTTCTTGTTCTCCTTCATGCTTATTTCCATTAAAAACCTGCCAAATCAAACACAAAGCAATGAATAATTATTGTCTTATCATTCATCAGCTCGTAAACTCCCAAAGTCTCGATGAAATTTCAAAATTTCTACTTTCCAAAATGTGGTGATCCTGAAAGAATAAAAAGAACAAAAAAAGAAAAGAAAAAAGAAAACCTAGTTGCATTTCTTTGATGAAGGCTGAAGCACTTGATCAAAATAAGAAGTCAAAAAACAAATAGAAAAAAAGAAAAATACAATTTCATGGGGCCTTCACCTTTCAACTGGAAAGTGCCGCCGGTGGATGAAAATCTGAGAAACGAGTGGGAAATGGAACGATAGATTTCAGAGGCACTTTACTCATAGTTTGTGGATGCTATAACTCAATCCCGGAATCTAATTCATAATATAGTGAGCGATAATAAAACTTTAGTAGGAAAGAGAAAAGCACGAGAGCTACCTCTAATCTATTTGCTGCTGCTGTAGAAGAAGAGGTAATGTCAGTGTGAAGACTCCATTACACAAGGTCCTCTAAAAAGGCTTCATAAACAAGAAATCGTGGCTCAAACAAGACTCAAACAGGAGCAAGATTTTATCCTCTTTTTGTCAAGTATGTGACTGACATTCAACAATGGGGGCGGTGGAGGGAAAGGGCGGAGGGGATTGAAAAGGGCTTGGAAGGCGCGTAGTTTGAGGTGAAAAAAAGCTGCAACAAGAAGATAGAAGTATTTGAACAAAGCACGTGCCGTGGTACGAAGAAGTTATGTTTTAATGAAGAGTTATCAAATTTAGTCTGTGAGTCCCAATAAGATTTTCAATTTCATTCTACCACTCATTTTTAATCAAACATTTTTCAATAAAATAATATTTTTATCAAGAGAATAACTTTTCATTCTTTTATAACCATATATTCTCCATCAATCTACTATTTCAAAATACATTTTTTAAAAATAATGTAACTCAAACACACCTTTAAATTTCTTGAATAGAATAAAAGAAAAAGTAATCCGTTAAATTTATAATTTATTTTTTCACTCTTTTTCTTAATCACACATTCTA